AAAGCTGAACAGTGAATAAGGAAGACTGCAGAAGAAGTACAGCTAGAATGCTTCTTGGAAGCCAGCATGGCCAGACCTGTATCTCATAATTCAGACATAATATCAGGAGAGATCAGTTCCTGAGGAAGGATATCTTGTTTGGTAAAGTGGAGGATCAAAGAAAAAGAAGAAGACACCCAACAAGATGGATTGGACACAGTGACAGCAGCAATGGGCTCAAATATAGCAACAGTTGTGAGGTTGGTGCAAGACCAGGCTGTGTTTCATTATGTTATACACAGGATCACTATGAATCAGTACCGACTTGATAGCACAACAACATTGGATGGATGCAACTGTCCTTATGCTTTCTCATCGTCACCTTACAAACTATATTAGCATTTGAGTGTTGCAGCAAATGGTAAGATGTGTAAGTAACTGATACTTTTTATAAGTCATTAATGATATTTCATCTCTTTGTTGAGGATTTTGGAATATATCGCTCTGATGTTTACAATCTGCCTCCTGGGACCTATCAAACTGTAAAAATGTTCCCAGTAGATGTGGGAACCTGGTTATTTCATTGCCATGTTAATAGTCACATTGAAGCTGGAATGGAGAGCACTTACAGTGTAATTGAAAGAGAAGGTAAGAGCTAGTTGCTAAATTAGAAATAAATGCAGTGTGTATTTAAGAGTACCTGGCCCATTGAACATTTACATGATGTACACACTACTCATTTATTCAAAGATTACTATCTTGAAATGACCAAGAGACTCTAGTTTTATTTTCTTGATAAAATCTTAGGAAACTGTTCCAGATCTGATCAATGATACTCTAGCGGTAAATGCTCTGGTGTGGTACTGCAGGATAATGCACTGGACCACAAGGGTCGGAACCTATGAGTCGGAACTGACTCAATGGCACTTAAGAAAACAACACAGTTCAATGTAATTCCCAGGTTTCTTTGAACAGAAAAATCATAGCTGAACTACAAATGGCTATTGAACCTAGAAAAAAATAATAACCTGTATAATAATTAAATCACTTAAACACTACATTTAAACATTAGAATACTTTTGTTGGTAGGAAGCTATCGATTTGGCAGTTTGTGTGTGTGTGTGTGTGGTTGTGATGAGATGGGTACATTGCATACACTTTGGTGGAAATATAAATTGGTCCCACAGCTCTTAAAAAGACCTGTGTAGTGATCCTAATATTCTGCCTGCCTGACAGTTGGTCTCAGAAAATTATCAACAATGAAGAAAAAGACTGAAAAAATGTATTTTGTGCTAGTGGAAAACTAAAACAAGCAGAATGATAAACTTTATTACACTATAATTCACAGCATAATCCTACTATTCAAGCTCACCAGCCACTCCTCAGAAATGCTATACAGAGTTGCTATGAGTCAAACTGACTCGACAGCACTTAACAACAACAACAAACCTATTTTTAAAACCATATCATCAAAAATTTAAAAGTAAATGCTTATGTTCTTTTTGTTGTTAAGAGCCATCTAGTTGGTTTCGACTCATAGAAACCCTGTATAATGTTTCCGAGGAGCAGCTGGTGGGTTTAACCACCAACCTTGTGGTTCACAGTCCAGTGCTTATCCCACAACACCACACCAGGACTCCCATAAATGTTTATAATAGTTGCTTATTTTTAAAGCAGACTACAAATTGTATCTGAAATATTATTCATAATTTATATATAATATAAAATTGAAATGATACACAATTGGTTGTCTCTCAGTGGTAAAGTTCCAAGTGAACTTTATTTTCTCCTTATACTTTTCTGTTTCTCCCAAGATTTCTGTAAAGTTTAAATTACTTTTAAAATCAAAAGGACTGTTGAAAATATACGGTGGTGGTGATATGCTTTGGAGTTGGTTCCAACTCATAGTGACCCTGAGTAGGGTTTCTGAGGCTGTAAATCTTTATGGGAGCAGAAAGCCTAGTCTTTCTCCCTCAGAACAGCTGGTAGTTTCAAACTGCCAACCTTGAGGTTAGCAACCTGATTTGTAACCACTATGCTACCAGAGCTCCTTGTTGAAAATATATACGATACACTATTTTAAAATAAGCTATGCAGTTATCCAATAGTGTGGTTATTTTCTCTGTGGAGTTCCTTGAAGGAACAGGGCAGCTGAAGCAGGAGGGAGGAGTATCAGTGTGGGTGGTTCCTGAGAATCCTCTTTGACTATCCAAAACCAAAAACACCTTGCACTCAGTGGATTCCGATTCATAGCGACCCTATGGGACAGACAGAGTAGAACTGCCCATAAGGTTTCCAAGGTTGTAATTTTTATTGTAGTAGACTGCTGCATCTTTCTCCTGTGAACAGCTAGTGGGTTCAAATCACTGACCTTTCATTTAGCTGCCCAGTACTTACCACTGTGAAATCACGGTTCCTTCTCTGAATACAAGGACCAAGAGTTCATACAGAAACAAAGCTTATTAACTCAAAATAACATTTTTACCTACAATATCCTATTAATGTCAATAATTGTATTACTAATACAATATCCTATTAGTACCAGTAATATTCCTACTAATGCAACTATTATAATTATTACTCTTATTTCTTCAATTATTCATTGTGCTGTCCAAGGAATAAACCCCCCATTTTTAACATTAGTTCTCTGGAAAACTAGATTCTGGATTTCATATAATATGACATAGTTTGGCTTATGCCACATGTTATCTATTCATATGTCCAAAGCAATGTCACTAAGTTGCTCTCAACTTTACTTGGTTTGGGATATCAATTGCTTTATAAGCAAAGTTTTTTGGCAAAAAGGATTGTACTTATTTTAAGGATCTTTATACTTACAGAAAGGAGCTCTGGTAGCGTGGTGGTTATGAATCGGGCTACTAACCTCAAGGTTGGCAGATCAAAACTACCAGCGGTTCTGTGGGAGAAAGATGAGGTGTTCTGCTCCTGTAAGGATTTACAGCCTTGGAAACCCTGTGCAAGGTTGCTATGAGTTGGAACCAACTCCATTGTACTTAACAACAACAACAACAACATACTTACATAGGCTATTTATTCCTTAACTGTGTGTAATAATTTGGTTGAATATCTTAACTTAGAACTGCAAACTATTATGTCAAGTTGTTTTTTGATGCTTCTTTTTCTACAGAAGAAACATCATCTTGATATGAGTGTCGAGAAAAAAAGCTACAGTTTCGAAAAAAGAAAAACTCCAGGGAGCAAGGAGTCCATATTGCATGGTTAAAGATTTTCATGAAATGTACCAGAAAGACTAGTTTTAAATAAAAGTCTTCTTGGCAAAATTTTGTGTGTGCCCATGATCAATTGGTATAACATAGTCCACAATGACAATGTTGTATATCTTACTTTGATGAATAACAACCTGAGAAAAGTTCATGATAGGCATCTAAGATGCAACTACTGGTCTCTCCCTGTGTAGAGAGGAAAGTAGAGTGATGAACATTAAAGACACATGAAAACTATTATCCAATTAGCATCAGTCTCCACAACCCAGAGACCAGAAGAACTATATGGTGTTCAGTAACCCTTTCCAACTGTTCTGAGAGGGATGGCATTTGACAGACTTGGACATAGTGGGAAAAAATGTGGAACAAAACTAAGTCATAATAAGAAGACCAGGCTTACTTTTTGGATAGTAATTGGTGGAACTCAGAGTCCATTGTCCTTTGTCACCATTCAGGTCCAGAACTGAACTCACCCCATGGCACAATTTTCAGCCAAAAAATTGCTGCTATTGTTGTTGCTGCTAAGTACCGTTGACTGGCTTTAATGCATAGTGACTCTATGCACAACAGAATGAAACACTGCCCAGTCCTGCACCATCCTCACAGTTGTTAGGGTTGAGTCCAATGCTGCTGTCACTGTGTCAGTCCATCTCATTGGGGATCTGCCTCTTTTCCACCAATCCCCACTGTTCCAAGCATGATGTCCTTCTCCAGGGAGATCCCTCCTGATAACATGTCCAAAGAATGAGAGACCAAGTGTCACATTCCTGGCTTCTAAGGAACATTCTGGCTCTGCTTCTCCCAACACAGATTTATTTGTTCTTCTGGCTATCCATGCCACTGTTAATATTCTTCTCCAATATCATAATCCAAATGCACCAATTCTTCTATGGTCTTCCTTATTCACTGTCCAATTTTCACATATATATGAGGCATGGAAAGCTGAAAGCTACAGAATGTATAAGTGCCAGTTTGCCAGCACCAAAAACAAAGACCCGTCCTCTGACTTATTATCTGACAATACTAAAAGCTGGGATATATTCTTTGACTGAAAAATGAAACACAGCTAGAAGGAGATTAACAGTGTTGTTTGTATAAGATAACAGTAAGTTTGCAAGCAGGTAACTGCAAGGGTTGTTTCAACTTGATAACTTGAAGATCAGTATCTGTAAGTCCTTGGTATTTTCTTTGTAACTGCTGCCCCAGATGGTTTCAACATGGCTGCTGCAGTTCCATGCCAGGGGCCAACCCTGACACACTTATTAGGGGGGCTCACGAAGGGATGTGTGGAGTCAGCTGAAGAAATCACACAGCATCGATGATTTGTGCTAAATTCTAATGATCATGATATTGATTATTTTAATCTGTATTTTACTTAATTTTTTCAGCTCCTTATATACCGTTACAATACACTATGATCTCATAACAATCCATTTCTTTGAAGCATTACACAAATGATCTTATTAAAATACCTTAATCTTTCTGACATCCTAAAATGTCAGGTTAACCTTAAAACATAATTCTAAATCTTAACTCCTATTTCTACCTTCACCTATTATTTTCTATAGATTCCTTAATCACAACATGTACCTAAACATTATTTGCTATGGTAACTGACAACACAGTTGTTTCTCATGATTGATTAAACAAGAAAAACATGAAGCATAAAAAAGCACCTCAAGTTTTGTAGTTAAGAAGAAATGGAACAATTTCCTTATAATAAAAACTTCTCTATACAAAACATCTAGTTAAATTTCTGCTTATGATCTAATTGCATTTTAGCTAATTTTCTAAAGGTCTTAATGTCCCTAACCGAAACT